AGGGGGAGACCGAGTGGATTGGGTAGGCACGTTCACCCAGGTAGCTGACTGCTTCACGAAATCGATGAAGCCTGATTTTATAATCAAGGTTCTAAATAGCGGTGTATATACGATTAGCCGTGAGAAGCTGTAAGAGTAGATTGCAGACGCTACTTGCTGGACATACCTAGTATGTACCTCTGTAGCTGAGTAAGCCGCAGACATCACTTGCAGGGGAACGATGCATATCGTATCCTAGTGATTAATTAACTAACTCCCTGATCTCATGATGCGAGAACAGGTTGAGTGTGAATCCTGCTTGATTGTGAACCGCAGTCATGAGATGCATGTACATGATTGTGTATATATCTGCTGCCATAGGGCCCTTGAGTCATACAGAGTAGCTGTGCAGTTTGGCGAAAAGGAAGGCACCAATTCTGATTGAGTTCAAATTTAACTTGAACAAACCCTGAACGGAAACCTTAAGTCTTAAACCCCAAACCATCTTAGCGCACAGTTCGTCTTTATGGTGATCGTTTTGCTGGGATCTTCTCCAGGTGTTTCAGGCAATTGTGCTGGGCTTTCGAGGAACAGTGGAGGGAGCATGACGTCGGTTTAGAGTGTAGGTTTCAGGGTATGCTTTCGCATTTACGTCGTAAAATATAGAGTTTAGGGCATTATATTACGGCTTCGGGTTTGAATTTTAGTTTCGTGCTCCCCCTGAAGTTTCTTCCCATGAGCGTGGATCAAGTGTCTTGGAACCTGGCGAACAACAAAGACTTCTAACTTGCGCCTGATGGCAAAGCACCTACTGTTCATGCCTAAACCCTAAACCCTAAACCCTAAACCCTAAACTCCAATCATTTATGTTTACAGGTGTGCAAGAAATGGCAGTCGCAGCAGCCCGAGGCCTTAAACAGTTTGCGCATATTCACAAGTTGATTTGTTGCAGGACAGAGAGCCGCATACTGGCAGTCTACCTTTTGGGGGACCACGCAGCTTAAAGCCTCTACTACCCCATAAACCCTAAACCTTACCTGTTGGGGCTTCGGGTTGTTAGATCCTTGAAAATAGCATACTACTATGTACTACCCCAGAACAAAATATGATGCGTAATAATAGAACACGCGTATGTACATATATTTATATATATATGCAAACACATTTACTTATTTATATTACATAATGTGAGTAAATACATATAAATATACATATATATATATATTATGTATATTGGTTGTCCCTGGGTTCAGGGTGTTGGAGTCTCTCCACTCATCAGCAGCCTGCCGGCTCAGGGTGTGAGCTAGGGGATCAAGGGGCTTAGTACTTAGCGTGGCAAGGAAGCCAGCTACAGTATATGGTTTAGGCTTCAGGGCTTAGGGTTACTATATGTCATTATGTTATTACTTCTGACCCCCATTATGCTAGCTAGTGTTACTACACACATGTTAATACTTATGAGCCCGGTTGCGGTTGACTCCCCTCGCGGTTTCTCATGCCGATTTCCGTAACAGTTGGACTGCTCAGTGGCAAGGAAGCCACAGTGCAAGCCGGTCTGGATGAAGACGTGGGAACCCTGAAACGTCGGGCACAGACCGCACTTGGAGTCGGAAGAGGGCGCCTGCTGGATGCCGCTGGAAGCGTTCTAGATGTACGCGACTCGGTCAAGCGTGCTAGGCTGCAGGACAGGGGCTCCCTGACCTTGCATATAAGCAGAGTTCAAAGTCAAGCCACTCGCGGCGCGTTTGCAGCCATTCGTAGTGATAGATCCGTCGTCACCTGGGGTGATGCTCAGCATGGCGGTGACAGTAGTGTTGTTCAGAATCAGCTGACGAATGTGCAGCAGATCCAAGCCACAAGTGCTGCGTTTGCTGCCATTCTTGGCGATGGCTCGGTCGTGACTTGGGGTAATGCTGAGAGTGGCGGTAACTGTAGTGCAGTGCAGGATCAGCTGAAGAATGTGCAGCAGATCCGAGCCTCCCACTCGGCTTTTGCTGCCGTTATTGGTAATGGGTCTGTCGTGACCTGGGGTAAGGCTTACCATGGCGGTGACAGTAGTGCTGTGCAGGGTCAGCTGAAGAATGTGCAGCAGATCCAAGTCTCTGCAGTTGCTTTTGCTGCCATTCTCGGCGACGGATCGGTCGTAACTTGGGGTTCTGCTGACAGTGGCGGTGACAGTCGTGCTGTGCAGGATCAGTTGAAGAATGTGCAGCAGATCCAAGCCACCCACTTCGCATTTGCTGCCATTCTTGGTGACGGATCGGTTGTGACCTGGGGTGATGCGAAGCATGGTGGCGACAGTCGTGCTGTGCAGGATAAGCTGCAGAATGTGCAGCAGATCCAAGCCACCGATACTGCTTTTGCTGCCATTCTTGGCGATGGCTCGGTCGTGACTTGGGGTAATGCTGAGAGTGGCGGTAACTGTAGTGCAGTGCAGGATCAGCTGAAGAATGTGCAGCAGATACGAGCCTGTTACTCGGCTTTTGCTGCCATTATGGGTAATGGGTCTGTCGTGACCTGGGGTAATGCTTACCATGGCGGTGACAGTAGTGCTGTGCGGGGTCAGCTGAAGAATGTGCAGCAGATCCAAGCCTGTGTAGCTGCTTTTGCTGCCATTCTCGGCGATGGATCGGTCGTAACTTGGGGTTTTGGTGGGAGTGGCGGTAACTGTAGTGCCGTGCAAGATCAGCTGAAGAATGTGCAGCAGATCCAGGCCTCCAGTGGTGCTTTTGCTGCCATTCTTGGCGATGGATCGGTCGTGACCTGGGGTGATGCTCGCGGTGGTGGTGACACTCGTGCTGTGCAGGATCAGCTGAAGAATGTTCAGCAGATCCAAGCCACCAATAATGCTTTTGCTGCAATTCTTGGTGACGGATCGGTCGTGACCTGGGGTCACGCTAGCACGGGCGGTGACAGTAGGGCTGTGCAGGATCAGCTCAAGAATCCTCAGTCTTAGATGCTGACCCTCGCATTCGCACAGACGGCAAAGCACCTACTGTTCATGCCTAAACCCTAAACCCTAAACCCTAAACTCCAATCATTTATGTTTACAGTGCGCAAGAAATGGGAGTCGCAGCAGCCCGAGGCCTTAAACAGTTTGCGCATATTCACAAGTTGATTTGTTGCAGGACAGAGAGCCGCATTCTGGCAGTCTACCTTTTGGGGGACCACGCAGCTTAAAGCCTCTACTACCCCATAAACCCTAAACCCTAAACCGTGGGGCTTTACCTGTTGGGGCTTCGGGTTGTTAGATCCTTGATAATGACATAATACTATGTACTATCCCAGAACAAAATATGATGCGACATAATAGAAGATGTGTGTATGTGTATAAACAGTATATATATATATATACATTTATTTATTTATTTGTTTATTTGCTGTTTAATTTAATGGGAAATATACATACAACCACATATATATATATATATATATATGTATATATGTATACTTATTTACTTATTGTTTTATTGCATGTGAATACATACAAACACACACACAATATATATATATATATATATATATATGTTGTCTGTCCGTGGGTCAAGGGTCTTGCAGTCTCTCCACTTGTCACAGCTCTGGGTGTGAGAGGATCAAGAGACTTCATACTTAGCCTTATAAGTAAGCCAGCTACAGTTTAGGGTTTAGGGTTTAGGGTTCAGGGTTTAGGGTTACTACATGTTACTACTTATGACCCCGATGACACTTCATCTTCTCATGCCGGCTTCTGTGACAGTTGGACTGCTCAGTGGCTTCAGGATTGGACCCTGATCCCTATGTTATAGAGGCTTTATGTTCACACGCAAAGTCTATAACACGTGAAAGTTGGAACTCACGAAAAGTCTGGTTTCAGGGGCTTCGGAGAAAAGTAGTCTTTGACATCCACTGCCAAAGTCGTCGGGCAACGCGCCTCCTACCTACAGCACAAAAATTGCCTCGAAGAAAGAGAAGTTCGTGGTACACGTAGAGTCGGCCCATTCAACCCCAAACCCTGTTCTCATGATTCAGGCTTCTGCAGCACCTTAAATTCTAAACCCTACCTGGACCTTAAAGAACCTATTTTTTAGGGCTCCTGATTATGACTTGTCTATACAAGTCCTTAAGAAGATAGGTTAGTTGGGGTTTCCCTCAGCAACAAACCCTGAGCTCTAAACCCTAAACCCTAATCCATAGTCCCTAAATGCTGAACTCTAAGCTTCCATGCAAGCCTAATCCCTAAACCCTAAACCAAGGTTTGAACCTGACGAAAGGAATCCCTGAGGAGGCCCGAGCCGCCTTGTCCGGCGGGATTTGGGATGCGACACCCTGCGTAATAGTCGGGTTTAGGGTTTAGGGTTTAGGCATATTTGGGCAGCTCTCCAAATCAGGTTCCCCTTAAGGGTCTTCTTGAGTAATTAGGGGTGGCGTACTTTGTTGAGGACCAACAAAAGGATCTTAATTTAGAGAACTACCCATAGGGACCCCGGGGAATTTGGGAGGAATCGAAGCATCCTACGAGCATGCGTCGTGCGGTCTGGACCGATTCTGGCATGGAATTGCGGATTTCGGGCTTGCCCTCTAAACCCTAAACCCTAAACCCTAAACCCTAAACCTTAAACCCTAAGCCCTAAACCCTAAACCCTAAACCTTAAACCGTGCAAACCTCGGTGGGGATGGGCCTCAAAGCTCGACTTCTTGTGCAGGATCTTGCTCCGGGCAGGCCCGCGAACCCTTAGGGTTTAGGGTTTAGGGTTTAGGGTTTAGGGTTTAGGGTTTAGGGTTAACCCTAAGCGTTGAAGCTTCAACTTGTTCGCGCTCTCTCTCTCTCTCTCTCTCGCTGTCTCTCTCTCTCTCTCTCTGGCTCTCCCTTGCTCGCTCTTTCTTCTTCTATTTCTATCTGTAACATGCATGTATATGTATGCATGTATGTAGGTAGGCAGGCAGGCAGGTAGGTAGGTAGGTAGGTAGGTAAGTAGGTGGGTATGTAGCTGGGTGGGTGGGTAAGTGGGTAGGTATCGGGTGCAGGCAGGCAGGGAGGGAGGGAGGGAGGGAGGTAGGTAGGTAGGTAGGTAGGTAGGTAGGTAGACAGGTGTACCGTCAGCGTCGTTGAGTCACTAAATTCATACACAGCTTGTCGGTGCCCTACACCCTAAACCCTGAACCCTAGACTAAGTTACTAAGGGTCCCAGTACCTGGTAATCACATGCTCTCCCAAATGATAACATACGAAACCACCAAGCTAAACCCGAGTATCTAATCATTATGGTTTCTTTGGTCCCTATAACGCCTAGATGACCCGACAGAATCCCGTAAAGAACCGTTATAGAACCCTTCTAAGCACCCCTGCTGTTGATGATATAAATCCTGCGTTACCTTAGGGACCCTAAACCATGGGAATTATGGTATATTCCTTCTTATGGGCAATGCAGGATTTAGATCATCAGCCGTAGTTGTTAGGTCCTTTGGACTTATAGGCCTGGGAGACAGACCTTCGGTGCATGTTTCCGCCTATGTGGAATTTTTAGACAGCAAGGGACCCTAACGCAGACCCGAAATGGCGCAATATTTTAAGGACCCCGAGTCTAAGCAAGATACCTGTAATTTTGCCTTATTGAGAGGTATGATTCATTACATAGGGATGTGTGAGGTCATGCAAAAATTGACCCGATCCTTTTGGGGCCATCGGCTGCACTCCAACGTCGAAGCACCTTGGACAATGAACCTACCTATACTCTGCATTGTAGTTCCTTTTTTGGTTAACCAAATATATATATATATATATGTGTATATATATATATAGTAGGATATATATATATATATATATATTGTAGGATCCTAACCATAAAACTGGTCAACCAAAAAACAGGAACTACAATGGAAACTGAAGGTAAGGTCCAACGCTCAGAAAGCCCGCCCTGAACCCGAAGTCCCACATTCAGAAAGCCCCAAATCCCCTGTCTCAATTCAGGAAGTTAATGTCGGTCATGTAAAGGTCACTATGCAAATCATAATCGAAACTGCGGTATATTATTACAACCTTACATTCTAAGTCCCATGACCCTCGCAGCCAGGGGTTTTGCAGTCTGTAGGAGCCTACTAACTATCCCTAAGGGTCCAAGTACCCAAATAGTAGGGTTTCAAGGTCCAAAAACCATTCAGAGTATGGATTTTGGGACCTAAAACCTTACTATTTGGGTACTCGGACCCTCTGGGTATCTTCAGATCCGAAACTTGCCATGGACTGGAGAAATTTATATGATTGAGGAAACGGCTCCAAGTGTTTCGGGCTTTAGGTTTAGGGTTTAGGATTTAAGGTTTAGGGTTCAGAGTTCAGGGTTTAGGGTTTAGGGTTTAGGGTTTAGGTTTATAGAGTTTAGGGTCGTGATCTGAAGTCTCTGATTCGTGTTTGGCTATGTGGGTATTTTGAGGTGTCCGGCGTGCTGAAAAGCATCCGGGGACTTGGCATGTGTGATTCAGGGAAAAGGACAAGCAAGATAACTGAGGGTTTAGGGTTTAGGGGTTTTCCTGCTAAGTTCCCGTGATCATGTAAGCAAGCCGCCCCCGAAAAAATCAGGTTTACACCCTAAGCCGTAGGCACGATCCCAAAGAAGCCGCCACGGCCCATCCAGTCGATCTTGCAATGTAAACTGGGCTGGGATTGCAAAGTTTGGGCACGGTTTTGCTTTGGCAAGAGGCTCATGACTGTTCTAAGGGCGTTGCAGGGTTGTAGGATTCAAGAGTGTCTGGGGTGCAGTTTAGGCTACAGGCGGCAGAGCATGACTTAGAAGACCCTCGAACGGTTTTAAGATTCATGAGGGTCTGGGGGTTTAGGGTTCAGTCGGTTTGGGGTTACCAATACCAAAATCCACAGCTTATAGCCAACTCTGCGCGGGCAGGCCCCCGCTACCCTCTATTCCAAAGGCACACTCATCTACGAATTGGGCGCTGCCGGTAAAACAGCCGTAAGCCCCGTGTAGAACCCTTGTAAGTTTGTTAGTTGCTATGACGATAATGTCCTTGTAAGAATCTCGGTCAAACCCTACAACCCAAAACCCTAAACCCTAACCCTAGACCCCCTACAACGTCCTAAGCCCCGAACCTGCTGCTTCCGCCGAGCGGGTTCTTGTGCCTCTACTTGGAGGCCCTTTTGACTTAGTAAGTCTACTTAGTATCCCCTAGGAGCCCTATTATAATCCCCACAACCCACCTTACTAACCCTAAGGGTCCAAATACCCAAATACTAGGGTTTCAAGGTCCAAAAACCATTCAGAGTATGGATTTTGGGACCTAAAACCTTACTATTTGGGTACTCGGACCCTCTGGGTAACCCTACTTACTAAGTCAAAAGGGCCTCCAAGTAAGGTTGATACGTCGGGGCAAAAAATGGCGGCCCAGCTCTTGCAGGCACATGGGGTTTAGGGGGTTGAGGATTTAGGGGTTTAGGTTTTAGGGTTTAGAGGTTTAGAGTTTACGGTTTAGGACATGAAGTTTAGGGGATTGAGGATTTAGGGGTTTAGGTTTTAGGGTTTAGAGGTTTAGAGTTTACGGTTTGGGACATGAAGTTTAGGGGATTGAGGATTTAGGGGTTTAGGTTTTTGGGGTTTAGAGGTCTAGAGTTTACGGTTTAGGGTAAAGGGTTTAGGGTTTAGGGTAAAGGGTGTAGGTTTGGTATGTGGATTTGGTACGGGTATAATTACAGGGGCCAGTGTACCTGTCCACCTAAACTAAGGCCTTATTGTTTAGAATAGGGTTTGGGGGTATATTATACTATATTCTAGCTATAATAGGGAACCCCCAAAACCCTAAACCCTAAACCCTAAACCCTTATTGTAATTATTAAGGCCCCTACATTACAAACTACAAGGCTCTTGCGTTGGATGTAAAGGGAATTGGTTGGCGTGGCCACGCAGCGTCTCCGGAAACACGTCATCTAAGGGCCTTACTGTTTTAGGATAGGTTATACTAAAAGTATGATAAGGAACCCCCAAAAAAATAGTATAGGTGAAACCCCAAACCCCAAACCCTAAACCCTAAACCCTAAACCCTAAACCCTTTATAATAGCTCCGGATGTGGGCTCTTGTTTTCCCGCGCCTCCTTCCGGTTGCGCCGGACCCGCTGGGCGTCGTCTCACGTCCTAAACCCGAAAACCCCACAGGGAAAATTCCCATACTGTAGGAGCCTTAATACTTTCCTATACTCTTTTTTATTGGGGTGTTCCTGATATTCAAAAAACTCTAGTATATCATACCCCAGAGCCCTGTTCTAATTATTTGATATTCTAGCTCTAGTATATCATACCCTGGAGCCCTATTTATTAAGGCTTCTACATACCTTGGACCACCGTTCTGGCCCCGAAAAGTCTGAGTCCCGTCATCATTTGGGGCGGACGCAGTTTGGCCCGAGTTGTCCTGGGGGTTGTTGATGTTGTGCTGGTGTAAAAAAGGGCCTAATATAGGCGCCTCAATGACTACCTGTATTATTTTGAGGTTTCTGCTTATAATAAAAGGGTTTAGGGTTTAGGGTTTAGGGTAATAAGTATAGTATAATCTACCCCCAAAACCCTATTCTAGTTGTTAAGGCCGCTATAGTGCTGGTGGTCTCCTGGTGCTCACCTGGTACTCGTCGTGGTGGCCCGAGTAGAAGTGTTCGTGGGTCGTGGTCGTCATGGTCGACGAGGTGCTCTCGGGTTGACGATACAAGCCCTGCATTACCCATAGTATAAGGAATGTACCATAATTCCCATAGTTTAGGCTCCTTAAGGTAATGTAGGATTTATATCATCAACATTATTAATATTTGGGGGCGGGTTTCTATGTTCTCATACCGGGTTTCAGCGGCTTGTGGTTGCATGGGGACGGGTCGTATGGTTCCAGGGTCCTTGGCTTTTCGGCTTGAGGGCTTAAGGTTTAGGGTTTAGGGCTCAGTGCCGGGGTTTTGGGTTTCGGGTTGCTGATGTTACGGCGTTCTCAGCTAGAGCTCTGCACCCCTTAGCCCCATAGAACTCAACATTTCAACTATGGAATCCTAAGTCGTAAACCCACGACCCTGAACCCGAAACCCTATACGCTAAGCCTAAACCCTATACCCTAAACCAAAAACCCTATACCCTAAA